AGAGTCCCAGCAGTTTGGGTTCTGCCCCACACTCAGTATCACAAACTTCCCCCAGATCCAGATGCTTCCTCCCAGGAAACCCTTCTCAGACTGGAGGAGTCCTCTCCAGGGCTCTCCACGGACAGTCATGGCCAGAGAGGAAGAGGGCGTGGGGAAAATGCTACGAAGTGTGTGTGCATGAGCTTCTGTGCAGAACTGGCACTACCGTTTGCCAGGGCACATTTTTGTGCTATTTGTATTCATTTTAGGGGAAAACCCCCCACATTGCACCAAAGGGGCTTCCATGTCTAGCTTTAAATGTCCCCCTTCAGTGTTCAGGAGGTTAAGACATCCATCAATCTGGTTTAGTACCAGCGTCTTGGTTCCCTTTGAGGATTCTCCAACGTGGCCTGTTTAAAATTGCCCGGGGAGCTCAACTCGGAGACCCCTGCGAGCCCCTTGCGAGGTCAGACCTGTCCAGGAATGTGTACTGTGAAATTACAACTGGCGAACGGCCTGCAGCTGGGAGCCCCGCGACCCGCACAGCGACCGCCCGCAGATCGCCGGAACCCATCGCCGCGGCACCGCTCCCGGGCGGACGCGCTTGGGCAACGGACGCGTCGCGCAGCGGACGCTCTTGCGCGCCGGATGCGGTTCCGGCCCGACCCGGCGAGCCCTGTGGCGGCGGACGAGGACAGCCCGTGAGGTAGAGTGCTCCTGGGTCCCCGCCTCGAGGCGCCGTGTGCGGGCGCGTCCCAGCCCCGGGCCGTCGCCGCGGCTGCCGCTCCTAGTCCGGCTCTCAAGCCCCGACGCACGGCCCAGGAACGGGTTTGGACACCGGCCCTGCCACTAGCCGCGGGCCACCGTCAGCTTGTTGGCCGTACGGGGCCACAGCTGGCTGTGTCGCGCGGGAGAATGGTGCCCGCTCTCGGGGACGCCGGAGGTGGCCTGTGTAAGTGCTGGAAGCCTTCCACGGAGAATCTTGAAGCGAGTGAGGTCCATGTTCAGATGTCATTAGAGGAAACGTTTTCTGCTGTGTCTAAAACAAGTTCACTTCCATCTTTCATTGGGCCCTCAGAAGCCATTGTTGGCACTTCCTACTCCCTTTTGTTTACACCGGGCTGCTGCCCCCAGCCTGAGTCCAGAGAGCAGGTGGCTCTGCAAGCAGACGTGGCCGCGTGTCAGGGTGGGGTATTTTGAAGGCTCAGCCGGCAGCCACACACTGAAGGAGGGAAGGCTTTAACCAAGAGGCGAGGCGGTGTGGTGGCTCCTGCCTTTACTAACACTCTGGAAGGCCAAGGATTGCTTGAGCTGAGGAGTTTGAGACCAGCCTAAAGCAAGAGCAAGACCCTCTCTATACTAAAAATAGAGGCCAAGAGGATTGCTTGAACCCAAGAGTTGAGGTTACTGTGAGCTGTGACACCACGGCACTCTACCTACTCTGTCTCAAAACAAATAAAAAAAATAATGAAGAAAGGCAGTGCCTGTGGCTCAAAGGAGTAGGGCGCTGGCCCCATGTACCGGAGATGGTGGGTTCAAACCCCGCCCCAGCCAAAAACTGCAAAATAAAAAAAAGATACTGGATCTATGAAGCAAGATCAGGGATGCTAAGGAACATTTTGGGCCTATGGCTAAGTGAGTAGGGCGCCAGCCCCATTTGCCAAGGGTGGTGGGTTGAAACCCCACTCTGGCCAAACTGCAACAAAAAATAGCCGGGGGTTGTGGCAGACGCCTGTAGTCCCAGCTACTCAGGAGCCTGAGGCAGGAGAATGGCCTAAGCCCAAGAGATGGATGTTGCTGTGAGCTGTGACACCACAGCACTCTACCAAGGGCAACAAAGTGAGACTGTCTCTTAAAAAAAAAAAAATGAAGAGGAGGAGGTATTAGGCTGGGCTTGGAAGGATGATTGGGAATTTGCCAAAAAGTAAAATGGTGAGTGTTTAGTGATGGAACAGGAATTGTGTGTAGGGGGCATTGTTGATCTTTAAGCCTGGGAATGGAGATGTTTGTGACAAGGGCCCCAGGCCTGGGGATGCTCAGATGCTGGGCCCAGAAGTACAGTTGCTACCAGAGTGGTGCTGCAGGGGCTGGGAGGCTTGTAGCAAAGGAGTGAACCCAGTCAGTGTGACACACAGTTCACCTTAGCCTTTTTCCGTCAGGCGTGTTGTGGGACATCTGTTGTGGGACAAGGCTCTCCTACTGTCTTTGTTTCTGAACCTTCTCTTCAAGACAGATGTGGTGGATTAAACTGTGGGCTTGGGCTAGCTGTAAGCATCACCCTTCCAGAGGATTTTTTTTTTTTTTTGGCCCTAAAGTTGATATGGGTTTCAAGTGTGTGCTTTCACTTTTTGTTTTAAAATTGCTCATGAATGCAGTGTGAATATCTGTTACTTAAAATACATAATTCAGAAAACAAGCCCCTAAGCCACAGACAGACAGACATCATGTTAAAATGTGTACCCAGCACCACAGGAAGGTCCACTGCTGCACACCAAAGCCTCAGACAGAAGGAAGTGCTAGTGTTCACTTTGAACACAAAGACTGGGGGTGCTGGGTCAGATATGTTGAACAGATGAGTTTCTTTTCGAAACCAGCCCCCTTTACTTGAATGCACATATTGTTCTTACCAAGGACTTTTGTTGTCATGAGGCTCAGTAATGAGTGCCCTGCTGATGGTGGCATGCCAGGGCAGCGGTTCTCTCATGAGCTCTGTGAGGCAGGCTGTGTTGTCATCTCATCTCATAGATGGAAAGTGAAGGTGTGCATAAAAAAGAATGACCATTTAAGTCTGGGTCTGAACTCTGAACTCTGCTCTTAAACAGTACCCTGCCTTAGCTCCTCCTGTGTGGGAAGTGTGTTTCTGGGGCATCCTGTGTCTTGTTGGTCTGATCTGAGAATCTGGTAGTTACAACATGGAGGGGCCTGTGCTGTGGGTCTCAGATGGGGTCTTGCCTCCATCCTAGAGGAATAGAGAGCATTTGTGTTTAGCAGTTTTCAAATCCCAGAGAACATCATGGCTTTGCCAGGATAAGGCTGCCCAGACTCATGCACAGAGCTTAGCTCTTAACAGGTTCCTGCACACAGCCATGGTGACCTTGCACGTGGCCCTGGTGATACTGTTTACTACAGTGGGTCAGCATGCTGAGCAGCAGGTGTATGAGGTTGGTTAATAAGATAGGACATCCTTGAGTAAATCACATCTACTTGGTGGGCAGTGTCACTCCAAGCTGTGGTGCTGATGGTGCTGATGGTGAAGGGGGTCCTATGGTTGACCTGGGGGGGGGGTCTCTCTGTGGGGCTTTTGATCTCTCTAGACCTAGAGGTGTTCACAGCTTCTGCCTGGGTATGTTTTGTTTGGCTTGTTCAAGGTAGGGCTTTGATCCAGATAGCCTTGAAGATCTGAGCTCAAGACTGAAAGAATTTAAGATTGAGTGGTTCAGGGTCTCATACTTGAGAGATTTACAAGCTATTTGATGGGGGTACCCATTTCCCACATGCTTGGTGGGAATACCAATTAGTGCCTCTTGGGAGGGAACTTTGGCAGTATTTATCAACATTTGAGGTAACCCAGCAATGCTGCTTCTGGATGCCTATTCCACAGACATACTCAAGTGAGCACAGCCTAGATCCCAGGACATTCCTCTCCCTGTCAGCAAGGCTTCTTCCCCAGTTGTTGGCTTGGCTGTTCCTTCTCACCAGTCAGGTCTCAGCCTTACTGTCTCTCCATAGGAGGCCAACCTCCGTCTGACCTGGGCTGACTCCTAGAAACACAGGGGCTCCCTGAGAGCCAGAGATGTCTGTCTCACATACAGCTTGTCACATGTTCAGTGACTGTCAGTGACAGGAATGCCCCCAGCATACAGGCTCAGGATTCTCTGCAGGAGAACAGTGGTTTCCCATGTTGCAGGGCAAGGAATTGGTGGTAGTGCTGAAAGGGGGACCTGCATCCTGGCAGAACACATGGCTTTGTGCATACTTAGTTCCTCAAGGTCTGAGCTGTGTGGAGCCCTTCTATGGAGGGATGCTGTTGCCACACATGTGTCTATCCCTTGGAGAGAACCAGCCATAGGTAGCTACAAACAGCTTGTGTGTCCACCTCCCATAACAAATATTTTAAATATCTTCTTGGTCTTCCTTTTTTATATAAAAGAAAATACTGTATGGGGCTAGAGCATCTTCATTTTTAAAAAATAAATAACATTAGACTTTCTTTTTCTGATTACAAAAGCCATACATGCTCATTGCAGAAAAATTGGAGAAAATTGGGAAATAACAAAAAGAAAACAAAAATCACTCACAGCTTTTGTTGTATTGTGAACATTGGGTATTCACGTTCAAGTCTTTTTAAAAATTATGACTGTACTTTTTCCCTTGACATACTGCCAGAAGCCTTTCTCCTCAATACAGCACACGCCCGCAGTTGGGGTAGGGGCAGCCTGACTTCCTCTGGGTCCGTGTGCATGCATGTGTATGTGTGTGTGTTCATGCATATGCACCAGTGTGTATGTGTCAGCATGTGTACACCAGTATGCACGTGTATGTGTGTATATGCACCAGTGTGTGCACACATACATGTGTATGCGTGTGTGTATACATGTGTGAATGTGCATGAATGTGTGTGCAGGCATGTGCATGTGATTTCCTTGGGTTTCTTCTGCATGCTTGGTTTAGTTCCAGTTTTTTAATATTCCAAGTAACTGAATACACTAGAGTGAGATCCTGTATGTGTGTCTTTATGTCTATCTCTGATGTTTCCATAGGATAAGTTGTTTAGGTACCATTATGGGAACAGAGGGTTTACATTTCCCATTTTCAAGTTTTAAAGTCTTGGGAGTATCCTTTCTGATTGCTGCCCTGGCCTGCCAGGACCAGAAGCCCCAAGCCTGGGCTGCACTCCCACAATGTGCTGCCAAGCCGATGTGTAACGTGGTCTTGTCAGGGAGCTGACCCTCGGGAGTTAGTGACCACAGAGGGACTTAGGTGACATTGGGCAAGTTTCTTAACTTCTCTAGGTTCTGTTGACTACATCCTCCACAGTCATGTTGTGAATGAAGGATTTATAATGACATTCTGCACTTTTGTGCTGAAGACCTGTGCATTGTTTCCTATATCTGAATTTGCTGGTGTCAAGTAAGGGAGTAAGAGGTGTCCTAGGGTAGAGGGAAGCCCCCGTGAAGTTGACAAGCCCCTCTGCTGTTAACAGAAGCCCTGGATGTGGGAGGGAGGAGGGACAGTCCTGCCTGTCCCTTTTCCCCTGTGGAACATGCAGCCCCCTGCAGTGGTGGGTGGGAGGTGGCAGGCATCTGTCCCATGAGACCCAGAGCATACGGGCCCCTGGCTGAGTGACCTGGAGGAGGCTGCATCCTCTCAGTGCCTGCGAATGGGCTGCTGCGCCCAGCTCTCTCTCCCACCTCTCAGGAGAGTCTCAGCACAAATGTAATTTGGTTCTGACGGTCTTTATTGTTGTGAAGTTTACTTGTTTCGTTAGATAATTATAAAGTGTTGTGCATAGTCTTTTAAATTAAGAGCAGGGAACAAAACTTTTTAGTACTTGTAAGAAATAATAACATGTTGGTTTTTCCTGGCAAGTTAATGAAAGAGAGAAAAGTGAGGATTTGTTAGAGAAAGAACATTCTGAACATGGAGAAATAGTCCTGGAGAGACTCCGTGTGGGGGGTGCGGGACACAGAGAGGACTCGGGGGGCTGCTGGGGGATCCTTCCACCCTTTGGTACTTTGCTGGACCTGCCAAAATGGGGAGGGGGTGTTTCAGCTTTATTTCACGGCATCATTATTGAGTTTGGAAATGAATGTTCTTCCCTTCCCTATGGAATGTTAGTCAGAATTACCTCAAGTGAATTTGCTTCTATCTCTTTCTCCTTGGTTTTTATCTGGCTTTTAAATAAAAAACTGAGATGTTGGACCTTTGGTTCCACTGAGGAAGTACGGCAAATCTGTCTGAGGCTGGAGCCTTGCGATGGTGCCCTCAGACTCCACCTGGTTGGGTGTTTGGGACAGGACTGGTAGGGCACTAATGTGCTGTTCTCTCTCTTCTCCAGTGCTGCCCCAGGGGATGCAGGGGGCTGTTTGCTGGAGCAATGATCCCTCACATAGCGCTATCCCTCCTCCGGCGCCTAGCCTATGCCTTGGCCTCCTGCCGACCAACTCCAGTGAGACTCAGAGGGAGTGGCCTCCTGCACACAGCCCCAGTGGTCTGCCCAGACAGGGATGCCCCGGTGTTCATCCAAGCACTGGCCTTTGGGGACAGAATCGCCATTGTTGACCAACACGGCAGCCACACGTACAGGGACCTTTACCACCGCAGCCTTCGCCTGTCCCGTGAGCTCTGTGGTTTGCGGGGCTGTGTCAGTGGGGACCTCTGTGAGGAGAGGGTCGCCTTCCTGTGCTCCAATGACGTCTCCTATGTGGTCGCCCAGTGGGCCTCATGGATGAGTGGCGGCATCGCGGTCCCGCTCTGCAGGAAGCACCCAGAGGCCCAGCTGGAGTATTTCATCCAGGACTCCCGGAGCTCTGTGGTCCTGGCCGGCCAGGAGTATGTGGGGATCCTGAGCCCAGTGGTCAGGAAGCTGGGAATCCCGCTCCTGCCTCTCACGCCTGCAGTCTACGAGGGGGCGGCAGGGGAGCTGCCAGAGGGGCAGGTGCAGGTGCGGGAGTGGAGAGACCGGGGCGCCATGGTCATCTACACCAGCGGGAGCACCGGGAGCCCCAAGGGCGTCCTGAGCACCCACCGCAATATTGGGGCTGTGGTGAGTGTCTAGACCTGGCTGGAGCTGTGACAATAGCAGAGCTGCCTCCTTCCCAGGCCACGGTAGTGTCAGCTACAGGCAGCCCTCGAGCCAGGTCTTAAGGCCTGACACACTCTTCTCATCTTTTTTGGGGGCCATTTGCAGTGATCCTGTATGAAACACTGGCCGTGGGGTGTGGCCACCAGCCTTCTACTCAGGTGCAGGACACAGGGTTTAGGGCTGCATCCCGGGGATAGAGGGACTTAGAGTCCCCCAAATGGCCCCTCCAGCACTAGATGGCGTGTTCAGATCAAAGGGGACAGCTCTGCGTGGTGTGAGGGTTATTTTTAAAGAGACCAGCCACATACTGGACATGTGTGAATAGGACCTAAAATCAGGGTTTATTTGGGCAGCCTATTTATTATTTTTTTTAGTAAATCAGGATTTATTTAAAGCAGATGCATTTGTGCATGGCCAAGTCTTAGGCGCTGTGGGAAGGCCAGTGTCCTCACCTCCCCGCAGGAGGCTCACCTGGAGAGAAGGTGTCTGTACCTCTCCCCTAGGGGAGTGGACATCCTGCTCACTGCCCTGCCTGGTTGTGGAGTGTACAGGAGGCTGTGTCCTCAGGATACCTTCCCAGGGCCTGTCTCACTCTGACCAGGCAGAGGAGTCAACAGAGCCAAGCACAGGCCATAATGCTTAGCCCAGACCAGGGCCTGGGTAGGGCCGGAGCCAGGACAGCCATGCCAAAATCACAGCTCTGCCTGCCTGGGTGTTTGTAAAGTCCACTCTGCCACCTCAAGTTCACTGAAGCTCTGACCACATTGCTCTGTTGGGCATCCCTGGGATGAGTGGATACCCGCAGGCCCCGGGTCGTCATCTTGCCTTCTGAGTCTGTAGGGAGGGGTTGTAGGGAACTGGCTTTCTTCTTTTTCTTTCCTCAGCTGGTGGGGGGCCCAAGAGGCGCATGTGCAGATTCCTGTGTCTCCTGTGGCATAGCAGGCAGCAGCCTCTGGCTCCTGTTCCAGGTTGTGCTCTTGTCCCCTATAGGTGACTGGGCTGGTCGACAGGTGGGCGTGGACGAAAGACGATGTGATCCTCCACGTGCTCCCACTGCACCACGTCCATGGTGTGGTCAACAAGCTGCTCTGCCCCCTCTGGGTGGGGGCCACCTGTGTGATGCTGCCCGAGTTCAGCGCTCAGCTGGTAAGGCACCCACCGGGGTTCTGCATGGGTAAGGCCAATTGTGCACCAGAGAAGTGGCTGCCTGATGCCCACACAGAGACCTACCACCTGCCACAATGCCTACTTACTGAGGTTTTGAGAAAGATTGTGCTGAAATTTGGGTAGAATTGCCGTCTTTACAACATGGAGTCTAAAAGTCTATGCACATGAAACCTCTCACTCACCTCACTTGGCTATTCCCTCTGCTTCCCAGCCGCCATGGGTCCCACAGCCTCCACACCCTGCAAGGCTCCCATCTGGCCAGCCACCTTGGCACCCTCCTATCTGCCACTCAGCTCACATCTGAGGTCTCTTATCCGTTCCCTGCTATGTGCAGTCTGTGACTGGGTCTATTCACTGAATTCTTTATTTCAAATGATATGTTTTCTAGTTTTATAAGGTTCTTTTTTTGCAATTCCACTTCTCTGTACAATTCTCCATTTTTCCCCATTTTGCTCATCTTTTTTTCTAAATTTCTTAACCTAGTTATTATGATTATTTTACCAAGAGGATATTCTGAGGCTCTGCCCCTGTTGATTTTTTTCCCATTAATTATGGATTACATTTTTCTGTTTCCTTACATGTTGTAGTTTGGGGGTGCCAGTCATTGTGTTTAAAAGAACATCAGTACCAAACAGCTCAGGGCACTCATGATTGCTGGGGTGGGGGGGCGACTACAGCATGGGCTTCTGTGACCCAGGTCCCGTGGCTATGGGCGCCATCAGCCCCTCCTTTGAGTATGAGTGCCAGGACCAAAGGCACCTCTGCTTTCTGTAGGGGCCACTGGGCCTGCATGGTGGTGCACTGTGGGTAAGACAGACAAAGAATGAACATGGCTCACTGGCTTTTTGGAAGAGTTACATGTGAAATTGGAAAAATTTAACTAGTGAAAAATTTAAAGCATCTTTATATTTAAGCAAGAAATGTTTATTATGAAGTAAAATATAAAATTTATACAGATTTTTTTCATATAAAAAGTCCTCACCTGTTCACCATCTGGTGCAGCCTGTTTGTGGCAGGGACCACACTGACCCCAAAGCTGCAGGTGGCTGGAGGGGCTGCTCCCCCAAAGTGGCAGGTGGCTGGCAGAGGCTGCTCCACCAAAGCTGCAGGTGGCTGGCAGGGGCTGCTCCCCCAAAGCTGCAGGTGGCTGGCAGGGGCTGCTCCCCCAAAGCTGCAGGTGGCTGGCAGGGGCTGCTCCCCCAAAGTGGCAGGTGGCTGGAGGGACTGCTCCCCCAAAGCAGCAGGTGGCTGCAGGGGCTGCTCCCCCAAAGCAGCAGGTGGCTGGCAGGGACCACACTGACCCCAAAGCGGCAGGTGGCTGATAGGGGCTGCTCCCCTCTCCTCCCTCACCCCCTGCCCTCTGACACCCGCCCACACCTGTGTACCTACCCTTCTCTGCACAGCTGGGGAGTCTAAGGCTCCCACCTCTCCTAATGACAGATCAGGAGGCCCCTTCTCAGCCCTGCCCCTTAAACTGTCCCTCCTCCCCATAGACCAGACACAAGTGTCCCTTACAGGACACAGGGTGGGGGGTCAGTTGCCTGAGGCCCCGTTTAGGTGGTGCATGATAAGGACTGGCTTCCATTAAGAGCACCTGACAGGAATCTGTAGCTTTTCCTGTCTCTTCCTTGACACTTCTTTTTTTTGCTTTAGGTTTGGGAAAAGTTCTTAAGCTCTGAAGCTCCACGGGTTAACGTATTCATGGCAGTGCCTACAATATATACCAAGTTGCTGGATTACTATGACAGACATTTCACCCAGCCACATGTCCAAGACTTTGTGCGTGCAGTTTGTGAAGAAAAAATTAGGTAAATGAAAGCAACCCACTTTCTCATTGAGAATGTCTTTTTTTTTT